TGGGGGCTAAGGCAATGCTTATCTCCCCGAGCGTGGCCTTCATCGAAGCATTCCATCACAGTTCCTCACTACCATCTTCTGGACACATCCCAGCAGTGTTCCCAAAGCCCAATCCACTGGGCATTCAAGAAAGCAACCCTGATTGATGGTACTGAAAGCCACTGTGAGGTTTGGCAGAATTAAGTCACATTCCTCCATCTAGTTTTCTGTGTAGATCAACTACTGAGACAACCAAAGCATCTATTCAAGCATAGAATGAATGAAAACCTGATTGAAATGTGTCCAGATAATGTCTCATGCAGTACATCTGGAACTTCAGGGCCACCACTTTCTTGATCACCTTACTCAACAATGAAATATTTGAGGCTGGTTTATAATTAGAAAGGTGTTCTGGATCATGGGAGGATTTATTCAGTGCACGTCCTATAACCTTCTCCTTTAAGTAGACAGAAATATATCCCATACTCACAGAGCAAGCCCCACCCAACCAGTTTAATCAGCCAGGAAGGGTAAACGTTGAACAAGCAGTTGTTGGTATTCATTGCCCTATATACTCTGTGTCCTTATGATCTAGGAGCTGAATCTGTGCTATCTCTGGTTACTGCTATCTGTGGTTTATGGGCTATGACTTACTCTCCCCCCCCCCAATATTTTAGCATTACTTGTGAAATTATATTGTATAATAACATTACATAATGACCCAGAGCCACTGCAAGAGACAATACTGGAAGAGGAATTGGTCTTTAGTTCCAATAAGTTCCAATAACTAAGTCAATAAATGAGACTCTTACCTATTCTGGTGTTAATGTTCACATTCCATATTGTATTCATTATTATCTTTAATACTGACTTCCTCTTATCTTACACTATAAATATATCTTAATTATCTATCCTAATGGGACAGTAAAAACCAATGAATCTTTGCACTTGTCTAAATAACAGTTTGTTGTACAGCAAACATTTTCCGACACCACCTGTGCTACTTCTTCTAGTACCCTTGTTGCCACTGTCTCTGAAAGTGATCAGTCACAGTTCTTCAGTGTTATCTGTGCAATGGAAGGCCCCAGCTGGGCAGAGAGATGGTTATATGGTTTCCGTATCTAAAGAGGGATCTACAGATACTAGAAGTCACATGTTTGTGGAGAAAACCAGCACCAATATCACAATTGTAGGGCTAACCCCTGGTACCTGCTACCTGATTGCAGTGTGGTCACTGGCTGGACCGTACAGCTCTGCTTCTCGGAACAGCTCAGCTTGTACAGGTAAGTGTCACACTGGGGTGGATTATTAAGTGAGAACAAGAATGGCATATCTTGGATAACAGATCTATGAATATGTTATATGGTACAGTGAATGATTTTGATGCAAAAAGATTTGTTTAGACTATGTTTCTCATGTTGATGGACCCTAGGTTGCATAGACTGGCCTATTCTTCAGCTTAGTCTTGTTAGCAGTAGAAGATAATGATTAATTTAATTAATTAAGTTTCACCATGTGTGTTACTGTGGCATGAAAAGGGTTTCTGACTGAACCTTCTTTCTGACTGCAGCACCTGCTGCTCCTATGAACCTGACTCTGAAAAATATGGACAATTCATCTGTGCTATACACAGCTTGGGTTGAGCCCCCAGGAGGACGGGACCACTATCGGATGATCCTGTATAGCCTGGATCCTCCAGGCATGAAGAGAGTTCGTGTCATTGGCCCAGGTGTCCAGAATTTCCTCTGGACAGGTTTGCCAGCTGGAAGCCATTTTGCTGTGCAGGTTATTTCAGTGAAAGGCCATTCTGAGGCCTCTTCCACCATTGCTGCTGAATGGACATGTGAGTCTGACAGTCTAGATCAGTGCTTCCCAAATTTTTTTTTCATTACCCAAAACTTGGGGGAAGGCGGGCATGGTGTGTGTGAGCAAGCGAACGGGGGGAAGGAGGGCCCATTGACTTTGCTTGTGGGAAGCTGGCAGGGATGGTTTCAAATGGCGATCATATGACTATAGGACATTGCAACCAGTCATACGTGCAAGCTGGTTGCCAAGTGCCCAAATTTTGTTCACATGACCACAGGGGTGCTGCAACAGCCGGAACTTCGAGGACCGGTCATAAGTCCCTTCCTTCAGCACCGTCATAACTTCAAATGGTCGCTGAATGAATGGTCATAATTCAAGGACTACCAGTATTATAAAAACAATATCATTAAATGATCTTTATGTCATTTCAACAAATTGCCATTGGTAATTTCATCAATTTTTGTCTTAATAGGAATACTTGGGAGATTTTGGAATATATTTTAGTACATGTGGCAGTCTTTAAGTCACTTTAAATGTCCCTGTTGTGAATGGGTTTGTGTGTCATTACCAAAAGAAAAACCACTTCTACACAATTTTGGGTAATTTTCCCAGGTTTGGGAAGCATTGGTCTAGATCTTAGACTTGTGGCTGTATTGTTACCCCTAGATATTTCTTTGAACAGTCCTATTCTTAAGATCATTCTTTTTTTCCAATTAGAGGAAAGGAAATGTAGGTCTCAGCAACAGGAAGTAATAATCTGTAGATATGTTTGCTCCCATAGATGCAAAAATCTATGAACATTGGTATATATCAAATTCTCACATGCATTCTCTCAGAAACCAAGATAGGCAAGCTTACATATTAGCATATTGATGTATCCAGCACATTTTCAGCTGTTTGCAGTGAATTTGACCAAAAGTTTCAAAATGGGTGCAGAAATGATGAAAGTATGATGATGATCTATTCCATGTAGAATGGTAACTACATGAGGTTCTTATCATTTTCAGTCATTAGGTTAATTTCACCTTCTCAGTTTGATGCCTTTCAGTTGTATCAGACTTCAGCTCCCATAACGTTCAGTCAGCATGGCTGGTAAATATAAGTATTGAAGTTTAGCAAATCTGGAAGATACCAGTTTGAGAAAAGCAGGGTTAATTCCCTTTGGGATAAAGGGAAAGGAACTCCAATAAGAAGAATGGCTATAGCTTAATAAATGTGTATTGAAATGCTTTCAAGGTTAATTCTGCCTGATTCAGGTTAGGCTAGAGAGCTGTTAAGAGTAAAATAATGAGTAGGTAGGATCAATGGTCTGATTCAGTGTAAATCAGCTTTCTGACATTGACTTTGACCAGACTTTATATCTTCTATTAATTTGTTCTGTTACTGATAATTGAGTATCATGTGCAGAATATATGCCGATCCTTTTCGACACTGCAGTTCTACCAGTTGTCCAAGACTCTCCTGCTTACTCAGGATAAAATTGCTAATGATGTTTGCTATTCATTGCTAGGTATTGCTCTAGACTGCTGGTTTAAATCTTTATAATTTTGTGCTTTTTATTTCATTTTGTAAGCTGCTCTGTTTTATATGAAGCATGACTTATACATTTAAGAAATATTTTTATTTTATTTAATAAATATATATAATATTACTACTATATAGCATATAGAACCCATTGTATAGTTACCCTCTTCCCATACCCTGCAGCTACCATATACTGCCATTTATATCAATTACTGTTACTCACTTTATCAAATAAATTCTTAATTATTTCACAGCTCCCCTGCCAGCTGCCTCTGTGCAAATCTGGAATGAAGGACACCCAAACAGGCTGCATGCGGCTTGGGCACCAGCCTCTGGTAGACTGGATGGCTATGAACTGAACCTATACCACACAGGATCTAGCACATTAGCAACACAAGCATATCTAGGGAGCGATGCCACTAATTTTACCTTCTCAGATCTGACACCTGGAATCAATTACTTACTTGAGATTCTCTCAAAGGCTGGACCCTACAGGATTTCAGCAGGGAATTTCAGTGCTTGGACAAGTGAGTAAATGATGAGATCCTGCCCATCTATTACTGCCGCATATGGTTCTAAAATACTGCTACTAGCTATAATGACTGGCTTCTTCTCTTGGACATATGTGGCTTCTGTTGAGTACTGCAATGATTTAGACAGTGGGGATAGGGTTTGCCCAAAATGATTTATACTCTTAAGTGAAAATAAAATGAACTTACAAGATAAAATAGATAAGTTAGTTAGACAAATAGCCACAACCTGGGTTACCATTGTCCTCATTAGGATAACTTGTTTTCTCTTTGTTCATTCCTGAGCATTTAATAATCTCTATACTCTTTAGAAATACTCAACCATATATTTTTCTTCTAAAGCTGGTCTTTTCAGAATCCCCAGTCTAAGTTTTCACTACAATAGGCGCCCTCCTGAAGACACATCTCTTTCTCCACCATAATGGGTTATTAGATAAATCGTGTAAGAAAATTCCTTCCTCAGAAAAGAAACAGTTAAACCAGATTCATCACACCACATCCTCGACATCTATTCCAAACAGAGTACTATTGTCATGAATAAAAGAAACTAACACCATTGGGCTCCTGCTCTTGTAATTTGGGAAATGATAAAGTCCATTACTACTCTTGGTCCTATGATCCAGAATGAACACAAGACCCAGAAACTGATTTAAATATGGACCAAAACTTGTCCATATGGACAAGAACCTGTTAATTTAATAAACAAGTTTTATCTGCAGTTTCATTCTAAGCAACTTACTCTGAGCCAGCATGCTGTCAGTCTGAAGCTAGGAGGAATAGCGGTCCTGAACCTCACTTGAAATGGATGACACTTCCCTCACTGACATCAAATCAGGAATAATATTGAACTCCATAGCCTGCATAGTTTCATAGGAAACTGTTTGTATCAGTAAATATTAGAATCAAGGAGGCCAAATATATCCAAGAATTAATAACCCCACTGGCAATTTTAACACAGAAAATTGCTCCCCAAATTCTTGGTCAATTTAGAAATCAAGCTTCAAAATATTGCTTAGCTTCAACTAGCAACCATCTGATCCTGTTCTTCTGGTAATAAGGCATATGATCAGCTATTGCTACATCCCGAAACAAGGCCGGAGGAGACACAACTACTTCAGATAATGGCTGACCTGCAATGTTGCCAAAGCGTACTCAAATCTATTTTTTTTTTAAACTTTTTTAAATAAAAAAGGCAAATATTTGAATATTTAAAAAGGCAAATATTTGAATATTTAAATCGATTACAGTATATCAATAATAATAGAACTTTACAGTAGAATCAATAATTAATCACTGTCTCTAGGAATTGACCAGGTGTTTAGAATCCATTTCCTATTAGTTCACTAGCAAATGCATTTGAGTTGTCCAGAAAATACTGTGTCTGAAACTACATCTGAGACCTGAACTGCTGCTGACAATATAATAGGAGAAAGATCTGACACTTAAGTGGCCTTCGTAATTCTTTGCTGGCAATATCCATTATGCAAAAGAGACAAATTCATACAGATTTGTTTGTTAAATTCATATTTCCTATTGATACACATAACTTCCATTTTCTCTTTTGCTGTTGTCTTCTGCTTAGGTCCTCTACCTCCTCGCACGGTGCTTCTGTCAAACAAAGGGCACACTGACAAGCTGAGTGCTACCTGGGAACCTCCTGCAGGAGATCAAAGTGGCTATGTACTAACACTCTATAATGCTGCATTGGGCACTGTAGTAGCCAAGGTATCTGTAGAAAAGGACATTACTAATTTCACCTTTGGAAGCCTCATCCCAGGAAGTAAATACTTGCTGGAAGTTGCTTCCATAGCAGGGCCGTATCGGATATCAACAGGGAACATCAGTGACTGGACATGTGAGTCTGACTTTCTTCATTGTCCACATATGGACATTTCCAGATAGGGACTTTAAGCCAATTCAAAATCAGCTTCAAAGCTCCTGAACCTCCCAGTGTCAGTTGTATCTGAAGCTCAGTCAATTTATTACTGGCTTTGCTGTGGAATATGTTAAATTTTAGCAAAGCAGGGCTGTTTTTCCTCTCCAAGCACTGTGGCTCTATAGAGTTTGCAAGCAATCCAGTCCCACAATGGCAGGTGCTTCATCCTGCCTTTCAGATTCTTTTACCCTCCTCCTCTGCAACTCCTTCTCCCTCACGTCTGCTCTGCTCCATTTTGAAGGTGGAAGAATGAAGACAATCAGCTTTAACGTGCTTTTGAAGAATGGGGGAGTGGAAACCCTAATAAGATCGAAGTGTCCTAACTTTTTTTTTTAAGATTTTTTATCCCATCTTTATTATTTGTATAAATAATTCAAGGCAGCAAACATACCTAATACTCCTTCATCCTATTTTTCTTAAGTCTTTTCCTTCCTTCCTTCCTTCCTTCCTTCCTTCCTTCCTTCCTTCCTTCCTTCTCTTTCTCTTTCTCTTTCTCTTTCTTTTTCTCTTTCTCTTTCTCTTTCTCTTTCTCCTTTCTTTTTCTCTTTCTCTTTCTCTTTCTCCTATTTTTCATAACTCTTCTTGGAGATTTTCACTGATTTTAAATTTTGTCCTCTTTTCCTATTGACAAGCTCATCAGCTGGCCCACAGAAAACTGGCAATTAGTAGTGAGTGATTAGGACAAAGGAGGGAAATTTGTTTTTTCCTTCCCCCCCCCTTTTTTTAATTAGCAATTCTGTTCAGAACTGCTGGGAGAGATCAGGGTGAAGGAGTAAGATGAAAGAGACACACGTGAATGTATGAATGATAGAAGTGTGTATGAGCCCCTAACTCTCAACATGCCAACCTGTATGATCCTCAAGGCCAAAATAGTTGTCCATCAGTGCTGTAATGGTAGTTGATTAGTGGCTGAAGTTAAATTCAGCCCTAGTAGTTTATAGCATTGATTTCAATCAATGAATCAAAAATCATTTGGAAGAATTTGTGCAAGCACTGAGCCTCTGCTGTTCATTAAGAGAGCAGTCCTTTTTTTTTTTTTTTGCCTTCTGCACAAGCTGGGGAAAGAAGCTTTTTGAAAGAACAGCCCTAATCATTTGTACAAAAACAGATTTAAAGGAATAACGTTCTTAAAGTATAACTACCCTTAGATTTGTAAAAGCAGATTTAATCAAAGCTGCAGTAGATTTTTGCTGAATGTAATCTTGTGTAAAACAGCAGCAAGTCCCACCAGTTTTCATGAAATTCTCATTTGATTAAGCCAAGGGCTGAGTTCTTAAGGATGGTCATGCATGTTTTTTTGCAAAGAAATCTGATATCTTAATAAAGGTGGTGGTGAAACCTTTGTTTGTTGAAGAGAAATCTCTTCCTTAAACCCCATTGGACTGAATAATTTTTGAACAGTCTTTCATGGACAAAGTATTCTTGGGCAGTGTTCTAGATATGGGGCTTGGGGATGGTGCAAATAATTTAGATCCAACTGAGCTTTAGGCCTTATTAGAGAATGGTGATTGTTCACCAAGACAACCAGAGCAATCTATGCTGGAGACAAGAAAGAGATCTTTAGTTGTCCAGGACTTCATTGTAGAATGTTAAATCAGGGCTATCAACTTGTTCACTCTGTCCTCCTTTATTTTTACACACCAGACCCATTTGTTCCCAGGAAACTCTCTGTAAAGGCCGAGAAGGGAAATCCTGCACTGTCTGTGACCTGGGCAAAGCCAGTCAGCAAACCAGAGCGCTGCCAGCTGCAGCTGTGGCATTCAGAAAACAGCACCATGCTACAGCATCACACCTTGACTCAGTGGCAAGTCCAGCACATTTTTCAGGGACTAGTTCCAGGGAGAAATTATTCTGTATCTCTCACCTGTGTTGCTGGGCCGTACAAGAACAGTTCTGAAACGATAGTAGTGCCTATAGGTAGGTATGTGCTCATCTTTCCTGGACATGCATGTTTCCATCCTCATCCCCAGGCTTATCCTTTCTGTTGGATTATCCTGATCGCTGCCAGGACATCATAAAATTTGTTGAGGCTCAGGAAGCAGAAGAAAAAGTTAGGTCAAATTGTATTGTCGAAGGCTTTAGGTCAGATTGTCAAGTCCAGTATGCTAAGCAACAAAATTCAAATCCACATGAATGCCAGAGAGACTTTCCTCATTCTGTGCTTTGTTTCCAGATATAGGAAGCTCCCACCAAATTGTCCAAGTACTGCAGAATCTCTTACAGCTGATTCTTGCCCAGATAGATCAGTGTAAGAGTTTTAAGAAGCAAGCCTATATATGTTCAAAATTCCAAGTGTCAGAATCAGGCATCAACAGTGCCTTTTCTGTTTCCACTACAGCTTTTGTTGTGAACAAAATAGTCTGAATTAGGCAGCATTTTTCCTGTATTGCAAATATTTATTAACTGTCAGAGAGACAGATAAATTTGGACTTTCTCAGTTGGTTGTGTCTTGTCTCTCCAGAACCCAGTCATGTGAAGGACCTGCAGTGTCTACCTGACACCACTAGTATGTTTCTAAATTGGACCATCATTGAGAATGACATTAAATCCTATGAGCTGACAGTGAATACATTTCCAAAGAGAGTCCTCCAACAATCTCTACTTCCTTTGGTTGTTTCCCAAACTAATGTTACTCTGATAGAGCTAACTACAAATACCTCCTATCAAATCCAAGTTAATGCTGTTGGCATGAATGGCATAAAGGGCCCAGCTGTGATAATAGTATGCAACACATCTGTGGAAGGTATTGTTTCTGATCTCCCCATTGATTGTACCAAAGGTGTCCTCTGGACAGTGGTTTATCAATCCAATTGATTGAAAACTTAAACTCTAAAAAGTAAGAAATGCTACACTGGGAATACAACAGAAATTCAGTTTTCACTGCAAACATCAATTTGCTAGTTGACTTTCTATAAGTCACTTTTTTCCCTCTCCAGGGTTTCTCTCTACAATTAAGGAGGTTACTTTACAAAGCCATTGTAAGAAATACTATGCTAAGATAGTATACCTTATATAGTTTGAACATTTGAAATGTGCTCATTCAGCTTTTATTAATATATTTGACAATCTAAGGCTAGATCTGTAGCTTTACACATTGTGCTGCATTTTAATGCAGTGCCATCTACCAGTTCCATGCAACATCTTTTACTTTCCACTGCAGTTCTTCCACCTCCTGTGAGAATTGACCTCCCACAGTTTGATGCCAGTTCCAGAGTCATAATTTCTCCTGATATGTTCAGTGAAGAAAATGGTCTCATAGAGTATTATGGAATTGTTGTCACCACCAATGAGTCTTGTAAGTGTCTAGCTCTCTATGTGCTTTTCTTGGTCAGAGAGATGTTCTAATGTACCTATGTGCTTAATGCAGCAGTGCTTGTTTCTATCTCTCCAGTACTGAGGCCTACCCAAGAGATCATTTCCCGCACGTGGTACGACCACTATTATGGGCAGGAAGACTCATACTTGGCTGTGTTGCTGCCAAACCCATTTCATCTCAATGAGAGCACCAGCCCCAAGGCTTGGCCAGTGTCTGTGGGTGCAGAAGAATGCAGCCACTCCCGAGTAACTTGCAATGGAAAGCTGAAAACAAATACACAGTACAGGTAAGAACGTAAGAAAAGCTCTGCTGTAAAACACTAGATATCCATATGATCTTCATTGGTCATCACCTAGAAACCTTGAGAGAGTTTGCAACTGGTCCCTAGCATTTCCTTACTGAAAGTATTTAATTATCATACTAGTCCCATCCATCTCCTAGGATTTTTGTGCGAGTAAAAGAATGGGTACAAGAGAAGCATGTCCAGTGCTGAACTCTTTGGAGTAGGGGGGATGATATAAATGCAACAAATTATTGAATTTGTAGATCAGTAAATAGAACTATCAGAAGTTTTATTTCAGTGTTCCTCTTCTGAGGAAGCAATGGCAGACTGAAGATGGCTCCACAAGAGCGGAGCTGATGGCCACAGCACAAAGAGGAGCTGGTGAATAGATCAACTCCTCGGAACCCCTCTCCGGATTAAGGAGAGGACTAGGATCACTCATAAGTTTGCTTCATGCAGAGGCTTCCTGGGAAGAGATTATAGAATAGCGATCTCCAGTGGGTTTGAGAGCTATGGGAGCTGGGGGAAAATCATCCTGCCTAAACTGCAGTTTGGCCCCTTCAGAAGAACACTGGCTTCGCCCACTTCCTCTCTTGATTACCTTAGGAAATTGCTTGTTATTGATCTTTTGGATGTTAAGAACCTTCTGAAGGGCAAGTTTCATTACACCAGAAGAACTTCCTTCTATCCTGGATGAAAGAAGTTTCATGTCAGTTTAAGGATTAAAAATAAAAAAATTAATTTTTGGAAAACAGCAAAAGAGGGACTAGAATGTTGATTTTGAAAAGTTAAGGGGCCAGATAGACTTGAAAGAATATTTCCTGTGGGTTGTTTAAAATTCTATAAAGTATATATGAAGATTTTGAAATTAACTGTAAGAAATCCTCCTGTGAGAAAGGTTTGCTGATTGGAAAATAAACATATGATAAGAGGGGACTTTGAAGGTTGACTAGAGGGAACCAGAGAGAACTAAGGATTACAATTGGCCTTTTTATCTTGGGTTTACAAAAGGGACATGTTAAACTACTGAAGCTGTTCCTGAGAGGAGACAAAGAGAAAATGATAA